CATCTCAGCCCCTCTTGATGGGCCACACAGTACTGGGATAGTTTGCGCTCACGTGGAAGTGAGAGTAAGCCTTTACTATCTTGGGACATTTATAGGTAGCCTTAAGACATGCATATTCACATGGGTCACAAGGTGGGTGGTATCTACAGTAAGGTTCCTGAGCTCACAGGTGAGGAAACCTGCACTGGGGGAAGGTACAAGGGGGGGGGGTGTCATGGGAAGAGAAAGCAAAAGGATCATGTCTGCTTCTATAGGGAGACAGAATCATCCATGTGCCCACTTTAGGGCAGCCTAGTGGTTCAGGGGAGAATCTGTGGGAATGAGTTTTAAAGCAGGATCACGTACTTGGACTTTATCTCTAACTTACCAAAGTAGAGGCTTTCCTATCGTGGAAGACCAGCTTTCCAGACTCCCTCTGTGATAAATTAGGGAGTAGAGTCCTCGTCATATTTCCTTCAGACACAGGTTCACATCTAAGGATCCTAGTGGTGTAACGGGTTACAAGTTGAGCTACTGAGATAGTTTATTGTCCCAGCTTGGCCGATAAACACAAGTGGGATTAACTGAAGGGTGGAGAGATAAATGGCTCGGTGAGCCTCGCCTTTCTTGTCTCTCGCTCTTTGATCATCGGACCAGTGTGCGGCTGCCTTGCTTGTTCTGTGCCTCAATTTACAGGTTACACTACCTGTGGGACGCTTAGCCTGTGAACTGTGTCACTATAAGTTGAGGTCCCTTTAAGACATCTCTGGAGCTGGGGACTGGCGGTTGGTGACCTGGCTGACAGTTGGTGACCTGCCTTGTGATTGGCTGCTGTGCTGACATAGCCTAGCTCTCTCTATAAATAGAGGAAGACCTGGCAGCAGACTAGACTTGAAGGACTGCTAGTCTCTCACAACTCTCTCTCACGGGAGTGAGTTGCACTGAGCCATTTGTAGTGTTTTATCATTTAACTGTTCATTTCTTGTATTATATATCTACCTGTATATAATTTAACAGTTCATTTCTTGTGTCATATACCTAATTTTCTTTATAAATAAATATATTAAATTGTCAGCAATTTGGTTTTATCTCTCTAGAGAACCCTGTCTAACCCAGCTACTAACTGCAGGGTCAGCAGTTCAAACCCACCAGCAGTTCTGTAGGAGAAAGATGAGGCTGGCTGTTCCTGTAACGATTTCCAGACTTTTTACAATTATTCTTTTAGTGATTGAACTCCGGAATTGTCTGATATGTGAACTATATGCCAGGAAAACTGTGGGGGCAAAAAAGAAGGCAATCAACAGACTCAGGAATCCTAGGTAGGGTTGCCGTTCGTCAGCCTCCATTGAAGGACTGTGTGTCTGCTCACATCTGGCTGGTGTGGAATTCCTGAGTCATCGGAAATGTTCAGCTATAGAAACCGCCGAAACAATTTTCTAAGCCATTCAGCCAATCTTCACTCCCGAAACAATTTTCTAAGCCATTCAGCCAGTCTTCACTCCTACCTGTGGTGTCTGAGAGCTCCCCATCCTTCCCATGCCCACCGACACTTGGTATTGTTTTTCTTTTTAATCTCAGCCGTGCCAGTGGGTGTGTGTTGGCTTTCACTAGCGTTTCCTGGATGACTAAAGTGTGAGCACCTTTTATATATGGTCATTGCTCACTTGGATTTCCTCTTGTGACCTGTGTCTTCAAGCCTTTTGTCTGTTTTTCTGCTAAGTTTTCTTTTCTCTTTTAATTGTAGGGTATATTTATATATACTATTGATAAGATGCAAATGTGTGTGTGTGTGTGTGTGTGTGTGTGTGTGTGTGTGTACCTGTGAGAGCCACAACTCAAGGGGATTGCTTTGCTGTGTTTTTCTGGATCTTGGGAGTTTTCCATCTTTGACAGGGGGCTGTTTGAGTTTTCCTCCTCTCACAGGTTTCTTCCTATAGTAGGCTCTTCCATCCCTGGTCTATGGCTCAGAGCAAAGGACTGGGTTGAGAGTCTGCAAATAAAGTATAGAAGACCTTATGTGCATAGTCTCAGGAATTGGTCAGTTTTGCCATTCTGCTGGCTATAAGAGTGAGGCATCTCAGAAGCAGGGGCGTGAATCTCACAGCTGTCTAGAAAGAAGAGCCCTCAGTGGAGGTTGTGTGAGACCCCTGCCTTAAATGACAGAGGCCACAAAACCAAGACCACGAGACAGTGGGGGGTGAGCTTCCCAGCCCACAGAGCGAGGCAGACGCAAAGGGGTCACAGAGTGGCGGAGAGGCTGAGGTCCAGAGAGAGATGTCCGCTGCTGTGGACAAAGATTCTATCCTCCGTGTTTCCTGGTTCTGACCCATAGCAACCCTCTGACTTGTAACCTGTTAACTTCCCTAATAAATACCCCCTCCTCTCGAGTAGGGCAGTGGATTATTGAAGCCAGCAGAGGAATAAGAGTGTCTTGGGAGGGATGGTTGATACCAGAGCAGGGCACAGAGAGATGGAAGGTGGATGGTTACGGCAGGGGAGGGGAGGACATGGGGTACAGAATGAAGACAATGTTCCAGAAAGCCACGGTGGTGATGATAACACAACTCTTCTCAAAATGTATTTGAGCCGGTGGGCTGTGTGTTGTTGCTGTGATTAGGTGTCGAGTCTGCCCTGACCCACGGTGACTCTGTGCACCACAGAACGCAACACTGCACAGCTGTCCCGGGGCCTGAGCCCATTGCGGCGGCCGCTGTGGGAACCCATCTCATCAAGAGCCTCCCTCGTGTGTGCCGCCCGTCCACGTGACCAAGCAGGATGGCCTTCTGCAGGGACTGATCTCTCCTGACAACATGTCCAAAAAGTACCTAAGACGGCTTACATACTTTGGGATTGTATGGTATGTGAATTATATGGCAAGAAAACCATTAAAATGAAAAAACCAAACAAAAAGAGAGCAAGCTACAGGAGGCAGAGAATAACAGGGCATCCGCTCTGGGGAAAGCAGTCTGGTCTACCCTTCCCTGGCTCGCCCCGCCTCCTTCTCTTCTGCCAGAAGCTCAGGCTGAGCCAAATGCTCTCACAGATGCCATCTGCTCTCCGGGGTAGCGGGGCCGTGCCAGCCCCAGCGTCTGGACTCTTGGCACAGAGCCCCGGAGCAAGGAAATTCCACTCTGGTCCTCAGGGCTGGGGAATCCTCCAGTCTGGCTGAGGGATCCTGGGAAGAAGAGGCCAAGTAGTAGCAGTGGGTTCCCTGGGGGAGGGGGAGGCGTGCAGGGAGTGGAGGGTTGGCTAAACAGATTCTTTTGACTGATGGCCAAAACGGAACTCACTGCTATGCAGTCGATTCCGACTCAGAGCTACCTGTGGACAACCGAGCGAGACCCTGCCCAGTCCTGTGTCCTCCTCACAATCGTCCTTCCGTTCAAGGTCAGGTCATTGTTGCAGCCACTGTGCCAATCCATCTCGTAGAAGGTCTCCCTCTATTTCACTGCCCCGATACTTCACCGAGCACGATGATGCCCTTCTCCAGGGACTGGTCTCTTCTGACAACATGTCCACAGCACATGAGACGAAGTTTGGCCATCCTGGCCTCTAAGGAGCACCCTGGCCATCCTTCCTCTAAGGCAGATCAGCTCGTCCACGGTAGTTTCAAAATGCCATCAGCATCGCGCTTCAAATGCACCCATTCCTCTTCGGCCCTCCTTGTCCAGTGTCCAACTTTCCCGTGCATACGAGGGGATGGAAAAGACCAGGACTGAGGTCAGGCACACCTGAGTCATCAAAGTCACATCCTTGCTTGACCACACCTGAAAGAGGTCTTGGGCAGTGATTGACCCAAAGCAATGCATTGGGTGATCTCTTGACTGCTGCTTCGCTGAGCATCGATTATGGATCCAAGCAAGATGAAAAATTTAGAGCTAGGCCAAAATAAAATGGTTAAAAAGAAGAAGAAAGAAAAGCGTAGCTGTAGAGGCTGTTCCTGTAGAACCAATGAGAACCAACACCTCATGAGATTTGGTTTGCAGGTTTAGGGTCTTGGTTTCTTGGGGCCCGGGGTAGGATGGCTTCTGTCTCAGCTTCCTCCCTCCTCGCCTGGAGACAGGCGGAGCTTACAAGTCACCTCGCCTGTGAAAGAGGTAGTGTGTTCGCTAAGCCCATGGTCAGTGGTTTGAACTCACCAGCTGCTCCGTGGGAGAGAGAGGAGGCTTTCGGCTCATGGCAAAATCCCTAGTCTGGGAAACCCACAGGGCAGGTGCACTGGGCCCTGTTGGATCACTACGAGTCTAAATAGGAGGCTAGATAGCAGTGAGAGAGTTTCGGGGTTTAAAAAAAAATGTTTTGTGTTTTGGTCCTTAACAACTGCTCACCTTGGCAGAGCGAGTCCTCCCCTGTGAACCTGAAAACGGGGGTAAAAATAAAGCTAGGCAGAGGAATCAGCGCCGGCCTGGGCAGCAGCGTCTGTACACAATGAGCTAGCAATGCGATTTTAGGTAAATGACCTAATCTCTCCCAGCCTGCTTCTTCCTGTGTTAAAACGGGGACAATAAACGAGAGTGTCTCTTGGGGAGGGGTGTGTGTGTGAGGAATCAATGTGTGCGCGCGTGTGTGTACACACTTAGCAGAGATAGATTGATACATAGATAGATACATAGATATAGATATGATACTTAAGAGATACACGTTGCTATTGTTATTGGGCAGCAGGGAGGGCAGGGGGGCGGGGCCGAGCGGAGAGGGCCTGGAGAATCGGGGCGCCCCTTGCCTTGCAGGTAGCGCTTGGTTGTGCTGGGGCTTTGTGGGGAGGGCTGCGCAGCAGGCCTGGCCCCTTGGGCCCCTCGCCCAGCCCGCACACGTGGGTGGCTGGGTGCAGGGGCAGGCGCCGGGCGCGGATGTCGGCCCCCCTGCAGCGGGCGGAGAGGCGGAGCCCAGCGGGCAGGCGCCCCGCCCCGAGCCCGCCCCCGCGCGCTGCGGGCCGGGGGCGGTGCGAGGCCAGGGGTGCGGAGCCTAGCGCCCCGACCCCACCTTCTGCAGGCTGGGCTTCCCGCGTCCTGGGCGGCGGGGGCGGGGCCAGCTGCCGGCGCTGGGGGAGCTCAGGAGGTCCCGGGGTGCAGCCAGGGACGGTGAGTGAAGGGCAGCGATGGGGGGCACCGTCCCCCCCGCTGAGTGTGGGCTTTGGGAGTGGAGAGGCAAACCCTTGGTGAGGAATTTGGTTCAACCCAGGTTTAGAAAGACAAGGTAGAGGGTCCTCCCCCCACGTCCCCCCCCCCCAGCGATCGTGGAATCTTCTTTGTGGTTGAGTGGGAGTGTGCGTGGGGGTGTGGGGGGTCTTATAGGGGGAGGTGTGCCCAGGAGGATGGGGTAAACTTGGAGGTGCTGGAGTGTGCAGGGAGCTGGGCGCCCTGGATGCGGAAGGGGTGGGTGGACCACTTAAATGCTGGGGGTGGGGGTGGGTAGGGGGGTGGCAAGGGAAGCTGGGATGATGACACACAGGGGAGCGATGGCGGGGGGAGACTACACACGTGTTATGGGGGGAAGCTGTGATGCGTGACCACCCCTTAGTGTGCCAGGAGTCACTCGTGCGTGCAGACTGCAGACCTGGGAGGGGGGATGTTTTCTGGGAGCTGATGTTTTGGGGGTACATTATCAAAGGGTGTCCCAGGAGATGCTTGCGTGGAGGTGGGGTTGGGCTCACCTGGGTGAGTGTGGCGGAGAATGTGGTTACAGGGACGGTCAGGTTGAGGGGACATTGGCACGCGTGCGTGCATGCATGCATGAGTGCATGTGTGCGTGTGTGTGTGTGTGTGTGTGTGTGTGTGTGTTTGTACTGAGTGAGTGAAAAGGGGTGTGGGACCAGATGGATGGGCAGGGTGCGTGTGTGAGCCCCAGATGGGTGTGTCTGGGTGTAGTACATGGATGATGAACGTGTGTCCGGCCTGGATTGGAGTTAAGGCTGCGACAGGTGAACGGAGCATTGGGCCAGCCTCTTCGGCTCTCGGGGCCTCAGGTTTCCTATCCGTAGAATGGGCATGAGGGTGATTACCCTAAACAGTCTTTGGCTGACCCAGAGACGAGCCTGGAGGATAGGTTTGGGGAGGGTTGAGGGTGGGACGGTATCACTCACCTGCTTCTGTCCTCTCCCTCCCCAGGACACTGGTCAGCGTCCTCCATCAACCATGGACAGCCAGAATCTCCATGCGCTCCAGCGACCTCTGCTGGCAGGTGCAGCCTCTGAACCCGCTGCCCAGAGGCCTGCCAAGCCTGACCTGGGGCCCCCGTTGAGAGAGACAGCCTTTTCGGAGTCTCCGAGGAGCTGGCAGTCCCTACCACTGCCTCTTTCCTCTGTGAGCGCTGGCCTGGGGGCCCTGGGGCACCCTGACTCTGAGGTAGAGGCAGCAGACCTTACAGGGAGCTTGGGGGAGAGGGCTGTGGGTGAACCAGGCCAGGACCCTTTCTCTGCCTCTGGCAGGTGGGCACATCAGACCAGGACTCCTACATGCGGCGTTTCTGGTTAGGGTTCTTCCTGCATGTGGCTCTCGGTTTCTTCGCCTTTGTTTCTCCAGAATTGTCTCGCGTTTTTGTTCCCTTACCCTGGCTCTCCATATGTCCCCCCTCTGATCTCCGTCTCCGTCTGTCCATCTCTTTCCAGAGCTGACACGCTTCTCGGGGACCTCTGTCAGCCCTGGTCTCTTGGTACAAGCGAATGTCACGTTTCCAGATTTCTGGTTCCGTGCCTCTGTTTTCAAGCGTGCCTTAAATCTCCTCGGCCTGGTTTCTCAGTTACGATGACGATGACTGCCTAACCGCTCACCTCCTCAAACTCAATAGCTCTCAAGAACAGTTATCAGGAATTCTCCTGGTTTCCGGGGGGCAGGAGTTCGGGCAGGGCTCCTCCTGGGTGGGTCGAACTCAGGGTCGTTCTTCAGTTGCAGACAGCTAGATCTCTGGGGCTAACGGAGCTGGAGGTGGGCTGTGTCTCTGTCTCTTCTTGTGGTCTCAGGGCTTCTGCATGCGGAGTCTCTCTGTGTGGGGGAGGCTGGGCTTCTTCACAAGACGGCAGCTGATTCAGGGCAGCCATCGCATGCGTGAGTGATTTCAGCAAAGCAGACGCTGCCTGCCTCGCAGTATCTAACTTCACCTCCGGAGCCAATGGGAGGAGGGTCCCAGGCACAAAGAAGGGCATGCCGGGTGGAAAGGTGGTTGGATAATGGAATTTGCCACCCGCAGTAAGCCCCCTTTTTTACATCATTTATTCCTGATCATCTTAGGGTCTCAAACTCTATGAAAGGGCAAAAGCATACTCACTGCCGATGCCGATTCATAGCGACCTTATAGGACAAGGGAGGCCCACCCCTGGGAGTGTCCCAGATGGTAACTCTTATGGGGAGTAGAAAGCCCTGTCTTTCTCCCATGGCCTGGTGGTTTCGAACCGCTGACCTCGCAGGTAGTGGCCCACCGTGTAACCCACAACACCAGTGCTCTTTCAAACTCCACGAGGACTGCCTAATTTCTGCTGGTTCTCACCCTCAGTGCCTCAGACCTCTGGCTATGTGCTGGTTATTGTGTTTGAACCATTATTGCTAAGGTAGGCCTATAACCCCCCCACCCCCCACCCCCCAACGGGTATTTGCTTCCTTTCTTCCAGCTGCCTGGGGGCACTACCAGTTAGAGATCATTTTTAATCTAGTTTAAGGTTAGAATGAAAGGCGAACGTTTCTGGGATTGGCAGATGCCTGCAGGGCAAAAGGATCCTTCCCGGCTCATTAACTTCCGAGTTAACGATTTTCTCTTTAGTGTGGGCTTTATAGGAATTCCCGGCAATCTTGCGAGCTCTTTGAGGCTTGTTAAGATTAAAAAAAAAAAAGAGGTTTTATCTAAAATGGGTAATTGCTGTCAACAGGCAGCTTGGTCTTAGTAAGGGAGCCCACCCTTTGCAGATAGCAGAGGGGCCTGTCCAAGTCTCCATCTTCTGTTCTCAGGCTCCTGACCCTGGTGGCGTAGTGGTTAAGTCTTGGGCTGCAACCTATAAGGTGTGCAGTTTGAAACCACCAGCCTCCCCTCGGGAGGAAGATGGGGCTTACTACTTCAGAAACTGTTGCAATCCTGGAAACGCACTGGGGCAGTTCTATCTACCCAGCCTGCTGTCGGTTCACCATGAGTGGCATCGACTCGATGTCAGGGAGCACAGTTCGACCCCTCGTGGCGTCTTCTAGTGGATTACACATTGGGCTGCTAACAGCTAGGTCAGCTGTTCGAAACCACCAGCCGCTCCGTGGGAGAAAAATGAGGCTTTCTGCTCCTGGCAGTATTTGCCGACAGCCTCGGAAAGCCATAGGGGTTTGCCTCTGTCACGATGAGCCGGGATCCACTTAATGGCCGTGGATTGGGTTTGGTTTGGGTCCCTTGTGCTTTCAGTCGAGGCTGTAGGGGCGGCTCAGGCAGCGTTGATGAGCAGTTTCGGTGTCTGTGGTTGGACCTGTGACCCTCTTGAGGTTGAGCTTCAAAGGCTGGGTTTAGATGGTTTTTACCTCTGGAGACCCAGGCCACGGCTTCCCTTGAGTGGAATCTGAGAGGCAAGTCAGTCCAGAGCGCCCTCTCCTGGAACATTTGTCTCTGTGTCTCTGGGAGTGTCCTCTGTAGGTGTGGGGCGCAGAGCAGCAGGGAAAGCAAGGTGATGGAGACACCCATCTGGGACCTCCCCTGCCCCTAGGACACGTCGTCCAGTGACAGCGACTCAGACTGGGATGGGGGCGGCCGGCTCTCCCCCCTTCTACCCCATGACCACCTCGGCTTGGCCGTCTTCTCCATGCTCTGCTGTTTCTGGCCTGTGGGCATCGCTGCATTCTGCCTGGCCCAGAAGGTCAGTCTGTGTGGGAGTGTGTTTTATGTCGCATCTCTGTGTAGATCATGTGGTATCTGTGTGTATGTGTGTGTGATTGGGGGGCGGTGGTCTCTCTGAATGCATGTTTGCTATGTGGATTTCTTTGGCTGTTTTTTAAAACTATCCTTGCTTTTTTTTAATTAAATACTTTTATTGGGGGGCTCTTACATCTCTTATTACAGTTCGTCCATCCATTCATTGTGTCAAGCACATTTGTACACTTGTTGCCATCATCATTCTCAGAACATTTTCTTTCTACTTGAACCCTTGGTATCAGCTCCTCATTTCCCTCCATCCCTGTTATGTGGATTTCTGTGTGTGTGTTGTGTAATGCCTGTATGTGTCTATTATATGACATCACCAATCGCATGTATCACATGGATCGCTGTATGTGCATGTAGTGTGTAGTCTCTGTGAGCATATATTGTGTGGCATCTCTGTGTGTGACGTGTGTTGGATGTTGTGTAAAATCCCCACGTGTGTATAATGTCTGGCACCTGTGTGTGTGTAGACCGTGTGGTGTATGTGTATGTCTGTGTGTATTCATGTTATTCTGTGAGGTCTCTTTACCATGTGCTGTGTATGTGCATGTAAGCGTGCGTCTGTGTGTGATGTTTCTGTTGGCATGCATGGGTAGCATGTTGTGGGAGGGGGCATGCAGGCGTGTGTCTGTAAGGGTATGTGCTCTGTACAGGAAATGCAACCACCTTCAATATTAAGTAAGAAGAGCGCTGCTGTGTATTCAGCATATACTTACTCAGGGCTCACAGTGCATGGGGGCCCTCGTGGCGTGGTGGGTTATGCACTGGGCTGCCACCCTCAAGGTCCGCCGTTTGAAACCACCAGTCGCTTCATGGGAGAAAGATGAGGCTGTCTACAGTTACAGTCTCAGAACCCCACGGGGGCAGTTCTCCTCTGCCCTACAGGACGGGGGGACGCTGTGAGTCAGAATTGACCCCTTGGTGGGGAGTTTGGTTTGACTGTGCATCAGGCCCCGTTTCGGCCCTGGGAACCCAACGGTGAACCACCCCAGCACCTCTGCCCACGGGGGAGTGACATCCTGTAGTTGAGGAGACCAATAATAAACAAGATGAGTAAGTGAATTCATCCATCATCAGCCTCGGGGTGAGGGGCAAGCCCAGCAGGAAGGGGGGCAGGAAGTGGGGGGCTTACGTGAGGTGTTCCAGGAGTCTCGGGGGACAGGACAGGATCAGGAGGAAGGGATGAAAGGTGCCGTGTGGTTACCTGAGGACAAGGACTTGCAGAAAGAGGGACGCCCCTGAGGGAGGGGCGTGTGTGTGTGTGTGTGTGTGTGTGTGTTAAGGGAGGAGCAGAGGGAGGTGATGGAGAGGGAGCATGTCTGGTCATGTGGAGCCTCCTGGGCCAGTGTAAGGGCGAGGGCAGGTGAGGGGAGACCAGTCAGGGGGACATGAGGGCAAACGGAGGGGCTCAGGAATAGCAGGAGCCTCCTAGTGCCTCTGAGATAGCATGGCTGCGAGCCACCTACTAGACACTAGGAGGCTAGACTGGGACACGAGCAAGCCCCGGAGAAGCTGATGTTCTCACCTGGTCCTCACTCCCCAGGAAGCTGTTGAAAGCACACTGGGGCTGCCTGATTAGCCAGCAGCAATTGCTAAGTGCTTGTGACTCCCTCTTCCTGCCAAGTCTCACCCAACCCCTAATTCATGACTCCCTCTTCCTGCCAAGTCTCACCCAACCCCTAATTCATGACTGAGCCCTTTGCAAAAACAGGGCGCTGGGAAATGTAGTTTTCCACTCTTCCGGCCTCTCCCACGAGGAAGAGGACGTTGGGTTGAGAGCCAAGCCAAGAAACCAGCATTTGCTCTCCCCTCAGTGGAATGTGTAGCCCTGGGGGGTGGCACAGAGGTTACCTGGAGCATCCTGCACCCAGGAGTGACAAAGTCGGACGGACGTACGCAGCAGAAATGGGAGGTGCTGGAAGACACAAAACCGTGGCAGAGTGGGGCAGGGCTCTGCAGGGGGTTCGATGGCTGATTCCTGGGGAAGTGGATCACCAGGTCTTTCCTCAGAGGTACCCCCGGTAGACGCGAAGCAATCAGCTTTTAGGTTCATAGAGTGTGCATTGTCTGGGGATTCTGCATCGTTCTCAACCAACCAACCACGCACTGCCTTCGAGTCAGTCCTGAGTCAGAGCGACCCATGTGTTTCTGAAGCTGTAATCAGGGGTCCTCAAACTACGGCCCGCCGAGGACATTTACCCAGCCCGCCGGGTGTTTTTGCCGTTTGGTTTTTTTACTTCAAAATAAGATATGTGCAGTGTGCATAGGAATTTGTTCATAGTTTTTTTCTAAACTATAGTCCAGCCCTCCAACGGGTCTGAGGGACAGTGAACTGGCCCCCTGTTTAAAAAGTTTGAGGACCCCCGCTGTAACTGTTTAAGGGAGGAGAAAGCTCAGCCTGTCTCCTGCTGAGCTGCTGGTGGTTTCAAACCGCCGACCACGCGGCTCACAGCCCATTGCGCGACCCCTGCATTCAGGACTCCCTGCACGAGCTGGGTTTTGTCCACTTCCGAGGGCGCCCTGGTGGCATCATAGACTGTGGATTGGGCTGCTCACTGCAAGGCTATTAGTTCAAAACCACGAGCCGTGCCTCGGGAAGAAGGGGAGGCTTTCTTCTAAAGATCGACAGCCTCCGAATCCCACACAGGCCCTTCCAGTCCGCCCTGTGAGTCGGGATCCGCAGGCAGCGAGTTAGGGAGTCTCCCGTTGTGGAGGTCAGGTTAGGTCCCACAAGGAAACGACGCTACAAAGCCCAGGTCTCAAGGCTCAGGAGGAGACAAGGAGGCAAACGTGAGGTGCCCCACACGGGCGGGCGACTTCAGCTGCTTGCCCCTCAGAGAGCAGCTCTCTGATCACGCATCAGGGTTGTCTACACACACAGTTCCTCCTTGAGGGTTTTAGCCGCTTCCTTCTGTTAGCAGGAAGCCCCAGGGGCCGGGCTGGTCTCCTGTTTATCGCTGAGCCCCCGGGGCGCATGGTGAACTGCAGCCCCTCAAGTATTCCTGAAGTGTCAAGAGCGAATGAGCGAATGGGGGACCCTGGAGACTACTAGCACTAATAGAAATATGGGTCCATGGTATTAGTTAAAGCCTTTCCGTAAGCACCTATTAAGGAGTAACAGGAAAGAGATGCAATTGATTTTAATGACATAGGGAAGTCAGTGAGAGCCGGAAGTCATGGGACTACCTTGTGTTTCCGATCTCACCAGTTTCTTGCCTCCGGGCAGTGTCCCCCCTCCACCCCTTTATTAAGAATCCTATCTCATAACCACCCAGTCAATATGCTTCTCTGAGCTGTCCCCACCTGGAAGCTCCTGAAAGGTCAAGCACGGGGTCTGGCTCTTGTAGGTAGGGCCTGTTTTATCCAACGCAGTGTCTCCAAGTGGAGCCCAGGTGGCGACCTGGGTTATGTGCTGGGCTGCTAGCTGCAAGGTCAGTAGTTCAAGACCACCAGCTGGCCTGCTGAAGAAAGACAAGGTTTTCAACTCCCATAACAAGTCAATCGTGGAAACCCACCGGGGTAGAATCGACTCAATGACACTGCATTTTGTTGTTGTTGTTGTTTTCATTTTGTTTTATATATTATTATTTTCATTTCGTTTTAAACATCATGCAGACCCCTGAGACGATGGGTTTCCACCCTTCAGGCCGGGACCTGAACTCATTCCTCCTGGCTCGATTTTCAGCCCAATAGGGAGGTCTTATCAGGGGCGCAGGAACACATAATCATCCGGCGTGGGATCCAAGACCAGCATTTGTTTTGTTGTTGTTGTTGTTTTCTTTTTTTTTTAAATCATTTTATTAGGGGCTCATACAACTCATCACAATCCATACATCCATCAATTGTGTAAAGCGCATTTGTACATTCGTTGCCCTCATCATTCTCAAAACATTTCCTCTCCACTTAACCAAGACCAGCATTTGTCTAAGGACAAAGGTCCGAAGGAGGCAGGCGGCAGGGCAAGGAAACGGGAAAGGCAGCAGGGAGGAAGTGGGAGAAGTCCAGTGTCATGCTCTGGACAGCCATCCGTGACAGGAGACAACACGTGTACGAATTGTTCCATCTGCTCTGTAAGCCTCCACCCAATGATAGTAAAGAGTTTATTAAAAAAAAAAGGCCCAGAGGAGACCGTGAGAAAGCGGACGAAGTGGCTAAGTCGTTATTACTGTTCCTTACGATAAAAGCCACCTCGGGGAGCAGGGTGTGTGTGCACGTAGAGAAGTGGCGGCTTTGGGTGAGAGGAGAGGGGCCAGACACTGATGAGCAATACTGTGACCGGCTCCCGGGACTCATGATACACGCTGCCACTGTGGGCTTCCAGGGTGGCAATCATGGGAGTGGCCAGTCTCGTCTTTCTTCTGAGGAGCAGCTGGTGGGTTTGAACCGTGAACCTCCGTGAGTCGGTGGCCCAGTGCTCACCCCACTGCTAGGTGGCCACTTTCACTTGTCGGTTGTACAATTGCTCAGAAAGCTCAGCAGTGCTTTCCCCTCTTTTTCCCAAGAGTACAGGTCGCATATTAGGGGGCTGGGGGTTAGGTGTAAAAGAGAAAAATCCATTTTAATATATATAGAGAGGGAAGAGGCCCTGCCTGGGAAGAAAAACAAAAGATGGGGAGAAGGGTGTGCATCACCCACGTTTGGGGCTGAGGAGCGGCTAGTGTCGTGAGAAGGACTCAGATCTCCAGTCTCCCCCACTCTTGGAGGTTTGGGGCAAAGCTACTTGGCCTCTGTGAAATGGGAGTTAATTCTTAGCTCTGGGGGCCATGGGAAGTCCCAATGAGTTAGAATGGTGGCAAGTAGCGCTATACTATAGATGGATTTCCTGTCACCTGGTCCTTCAGTGCCTAGGCTCGACCCATCGTCCGTAGTCTGTATAGGTCTATGGGATATATGGTTAAGGGGGGGGCATGGGCTGCAGGAGGAAGGGTGGGCGCGTGGGACCCCCGGTCACTTGTCACCCACTTCCTCCGCAGACCAACAAGGCTTGGGCCCAGGGGGACTTCCGAGGGGCAGGGGCCGCCTCCCGCCGCGCCTTCCTGCTGGGGCTCCTCGCTGTCGGGCTGGGCGTGTGCATGTACACGGCTGCCCTGGTGACCCTGGCCGCCTACCTTGCTTCCCGAGACCCACCCTAGCCGCTCCTGTGGCCCCCACTGTGAACCCAGAGGCCGGCGGCCCCCAGCGCATCGGTGGGCAGAGAGGGGGAACCAGGTGGACGCATCTGCAGCCAGACCTGGGGGCAAGCTGGCCAGCCCCTCCCCTCCTGATCATCACTCACCAGCCGTGAGATTAAACACCTGGCAGCCAACTTGTATGTGTGTCTGTCTGTCTGGGGGGTGGGGTGGGGGTGGCGGCAGGGGTCGCTGAAGACCCAGAAGGGTGCAGTCAAGTTGAGCGCCCATGCTGGGTGCTCCCAGGGTCCTCCCGGACCCAGCAGGGCCATGGGGGCCACGTCCTTTGCAGAATGTTCTCTTGGTAACTCGGGGGACACAGTTCGGGCCAGAGCATCGGAGAGCTGGCTCTCAAACCCTCACTCTTCTGGTTGCTGGCCGACTTTGGCACACCTGGATGTCCCTCTGGGCCTCATGTGTACTTCACCTGGAAGATGGGCCCTATTTCCCCCACAGGAGCCCCCGTGACAGAGTGGGTGGTGCTTTGGGCTGCCTGACTACCAGGTTAGCCGTTCGGAACCACCAGCAGCCCTGAGGGAGAAAGATGGGCTTTTCTAGTCCCGTGAAGTTAGTCTTTGAAAACCCACAGGGGCAGTGCTCTTCTGTCCTAACGTCACTGGGAGTTGGCACAGCGTTTGGTTTTTGTCTTCTTCCATGCTCCAAGAGTTGGGGTGAGGCTGAGTGACATCATGGGTCGCCCGCAGACACTGAGCGCAGCTAAGCGGTTCTCAACCTGTGGGTCGGGACCCCTTTGGGGGGTAACGACCCTTTCACAGGGGTTGCCCGATTCATCAAAGTAGCAAAATGACAGTGATGAAGAAGCAACGAAAATAATTTTCTGGTTGGGGGGGTCACGGCATCAGGAAGGTGGAGAACCACTGGCTTATGCAGAGTGAGAAGGCTGAGCCTAGGGACCCAAAGGCTGCATCCTTGGTTCTCGGGCTTTTCCTGCTGGCTGGCTGTCAGTCAGGCTCGGCCCCCCAGCAGCAGCAGCTCAGGCAGCGTGGGTGCCTCAGAGGTCCCATTCCTAGGGCAGATTCTCATCGGCCAGGACTCGGGTGGGGGACGCCCCTCGGAGTCCACTGGGAGGAGGATGGAACCAGAAAAGGGGCCGGGGCTGCTGAAAGGGAACACAGGAAGTGCTCTGTGATGAAGGGCGTGTTGGAAGATTAAGATCGGAAGATGTTTCTCAGGAATCTTTGGGGAGCCAGACTGCTCCGAGGTGCCCGTTCCCTGTCCTGCCATCATTTCCTCCCCTCCAGCCTGAAAGTCGCCCCCCGCCCCCCACACCTGTGGGCTGACTCTCCCTCCTCCAGGGCTCCGTGCAAAAGGCCCGTTTGCTGAAGGCTGCCCTGACCCACGCATTCAGCCTGCACGCCCCCAACGGGAAATCTTCCCAGCCCTTCTCTTATTTTCTCTGTGCCTACCCCTGTCTGATAGCACCGGTTTAATGTCCCTGAACTTGGATCCCGGGTTCTAAGGGAGCCTGCCCACGGGAGGTGCTTGGCGGGAACCGGTGGGAATGAATGATCCCCCAGGCCGTGGGAGTCCTCCCTTCTTGTCCTTGGAAGGTCAGTGCCTGTTCCCCGGGCCTAGAGCCTGCCGCCCAAGCTCTCTCTGGATGGTGTACAGGGACCGCCAGCCCCGACACCGTTCCCTCACAAAAGCACACACGGACAGAGTGGCTTGGTGGGTTTATTTTACACTGGAGGCTGTGGGCCCAGCCGTGGCGGCGGCGGCGGAGGCAGCGCCCTTAGCTCTTGGAGTAACGTCTCTGCAGAGACTCCCGGTAGAAGCGGAAGACGTGCTGAGAGGCAGCCTGGGCTGCGGCCAAGCACTGCTGGAGCTGGGGGGTGGGAGGGAGACACGCTGGTCAATGCTGGGGGCACGTCCTGGACCCATGTTCCACACAGCCTGTAGACCCCCCAACCCCACCTGATTCCCAGAGGCCCCACCCCTCCCACCTCCCCGAGGGGACGCAGCAGGTCCCTAGGCCCTGCGTGGCCCAGGCGGCTCTGCTGCCAACGGAAAGATTGGAAGTTTGAGTCCCTCCACCCGGAGAAAACAGACCTGGGGAGTGCCGGTTTAACCCTCACTCAAGGGGTCCCTGCCTAGAGCTGGAGTAGACCTGAAGGCACCTGTCCCCACCCCCTTTCCCCCAGGCCCCCTTTACTTCCTACTTTGAGGGGAAGAAGAAGGGGGTCGGGGGTGGGAACGCAATTCTAGGAGGCACAAGACCCACAACTCACAGTCATTGAGTCGGTTCACACTCAGCACGAACTATAACTATGGAAGGTTACTGGGACGGGAAATCTCTTTCTCGTTCTCCCCATGACGGAAGGGCTTACGCAGGAGGCTAACAGGTGACAATGCAGGTGAGACGTGCTCAGGCTATACAGCTGTTTGGTCCGGACGTGTACGCAAAGTTCCTTCAGGGCTGCTAATACCTGCCCAAAGGCGCTCCGGTGGTGTAGCAGTTACAAGTTGGGCAGCTAACTGCAAGGTCGGCAGTTCGAAACCACCAGCCGCTCTAAGGGAGACAGACGAGGCTTTCGACTCCCCCATGGGCTCCCAATCTTAGAAGCTCACAGGGACAGTTCTACCCAGTTCTACAGGGCCGCCATACGTTGGCATCAGCTTGACAGCAGGAAGGGAGAACACGTGCCCAGAAGGCAGGCCGCTCTGCTGTAGGCCTCAGCAGCCCCAATTAGATGCCCAGAGGCACCCCACTCCACAAGCCAGCCTCTTGCCTCAACGCGCTCAGCTTGGCTTGTTCTGTGGCCTGGAAACTCCACCATCTTTACGGGAGTGGCAGTCTCATCCTTCCTTTGACGAGCATGTGGTGGATCTGAACCGCGGGCCCGTGGGCAGCAGCCCTGTGAAGTTCAGATCGTCCCCAACTTCTTGGGGGCCAGTGACCTGCAGCGTTCACAGGATGTGAGAGATCCTGGAATTTTAGGGCCTCGGTCCTTGGAGCCTCAAAGGTCTCATGAGCCATGGACTCTGGAGACCCAAATCGTTCATGCCCTGCACCCCAGGGTTCATAGGAGGTCTGGGTGGGAACGCCTCTTGGAGACCAGTTGGCCCAACCTGGTTCCTTAGTGAACCAGAGGCTGGGTGTGGCCTGAGGGGGGTGGGGGTGGGTTTCAGAGGCCCGCCCCCCCAATGCCCATCCTGATTGCAAGCGGCTACTCTTTTCTCCCGTCTCCAAAACTGGGCTTCCCTTTCAGTTTGCTTCTCCCTGCCGCACGCCCCCCAGAGTGTCTGTTAAAAAGTTGGAGCATGGTCTTTTGGCAGGGAGGGACGCAGAGAGAGAGGGCGTGTGCTGAAGCGTCCTGGCGTCCCAGGCCGAGGGTGGGGGGCGGGGAGCGTGTGTACCTCGGCGTTGGAGTAGAGCCCCTTGGTGGTGGACATGAGCAGCTTCTGCTCCACACTGTCCAGCGCAAACGTCAGAACGGCCCGGGCCTCCTGGGGACGCGAGAGAAGGTGGGGGGTGAGGCGGGGCGGTCCTTTAGGTGACTCGGACCTAGCGGTGACCCCGGAGTCTCAGGGCAAGATGTCAGCAAACTTCATTTCCCAGAGTCCCTTGCCAATTGGGTTCTACCCTGAATCTGGTGGGAGCGTGGGAGCAGGAAGGCAGAGAGCAGCAGCCTAGTCCTCACTCCACCAGCAGCAAGGGCTGACGGGCCCTGGTTGCCATAGCAGCCGTGGCGTGGTGGTGGGTTTTAGACTTCCGCAGGAAGAGCACAAGGTGGGCATCTTTTGTCGCCCACAGTGGACAGTGTCAGTGTCCCTAACAGGCCCGGAGCAAGCTGGCTTGTACGCTTTAGCTGGGGCTCTTTTGATCTCTGGGCGTCATTCCTTTTTCTCTTTTGGTCCTCAAGTCCCTGCATTACACTCCTCCTGCCTGAGATACGCTGAGAGGTGTCCGTTTTACGAACAGGATGTGACCATTAGTGCCCTCAGAGCCAGCAGACCTAAGATATTGTGAACTCGTGCTGATGGGGAAAGCTGTCTCCTGCTCCCTCTGCTTCTGGGCCACTGAAGACGGACGCACAGAGCACCAGAGAACGAGGCTGAGGCGCAGAGAAGGCAGGAATGAGAAATGAAGCATGGAGATTCGATGGATGTTTGAGGTCCTGGTCCTTTCTAGTACTTTCTTCGCCCCCGCCAAGTTGGTTGGGTAACAAAAACCAATTGACCTCCTTTATGCGTAATTAAGGATGAGCTGAACGGGACCTGATGAAGACAGCAGAGCTTGCCAGTCGGGACGGAAGTGGCACAAGCCAACTGTGAGAGAAGCCAGGACTCCAGGAAGTGTAGGGGGAACGCAGTCTGCCCACAGCCCTGCAGCCACACTGGCATTCACCTACCTTTTCCTGCTTCAGTGTGGGGTCCAGCACGAGATTCCCATCAGAGTCCAGAGCGCAGGTGACGCCACAGAAGAGGGCTCGCATGGGCACACCTGCATCTACCAGCGCCATGCAGGCAGCATTCAGGCAACAGGCCAGGAGCTGGTGTCATGGGGTGAGGTTAAGAAGAATGTCTGCTGTAGAGCTGACCAGCAGAATGTAACGCATGCCTCCTGGCGCCCAGCTGGCGCCTGTGGCAGACTTCACTAATGGACCACAGAGAGGTGGTATGGCAGAGCGGTCGTGAATCATGGGTTCTGGACTGGCTGAGCATAAAAGGAGGGAAATCACCAAGGAAAAGGCCTATTGATTTTTGGCAACGTGAAAATGAGAGCTTTCCAGCTGTTCTAATCCAGAGCTTCATGCTTTTATACCGTGCTGCAGTAACTGAGCATGAGGAGGCCTGACGGGCCACAGGGATCACCTGAAAATGTCCCAATATAAATGGGAACCATCAAGAAATGGCTAATCTCGCGAATAAAAGCATGAATTAAATAAATTTTAAAAAGCTATGGGACCACATGACCGTGAACCCTAGACCCAGTTCTGGTACTTCTCAGCTGTGGCAATCCTGAGCATGCGACACCCCCTCTCAGCCTCAGCTTCGTCCCCTGTTAGAGGGGAATGGGAATGATATAAGCTCTAAGTCTGGACAGGATGAAACCTTCCAAGACCAGGTGAGGAGGAACTGGCCAAGCCAGAGGGAGAACCTGGGGATGCTGCAGGCCGCTGATACCAGGAGCCTGAGCAGGCCAGGCCACGGAGGGGCAGGAGAGCCTTCATCCTTGCCCTCTGGGAAGTTGCAGTCTGGGGCTGGGGCTCAGCCCTGGTTCAGCAGAAGGCCTGGAGTTCAAGGGCAGCATCAGGGTCAATGGCACAGCCCTCCAGTCATAGGAGGCTGGCCTTGAGTTCTACCCCTGCTGACCTCCAGCTGTGTGACCTCGGATGAGCGACTTCGGAAAGCAGGGAGCATGAGAACACCTGTGTGCTCGGCTCCTTGGGCTGGAGTCCTGGCCCTGCCACTGAACACCTAGGTGACTTTCCACCTGGGAAACTGGACAATCCCGGCCCGTATCTCCCGGAGCTGTGATGAGGGCCGAGTTAATATGTGCGGGTCACTTCCAGGCCCACGGTAAAGATTCTTCCACCGTGGGTGATTCTGCCTCAGTGAGAGGGCATGGGTCCTGTCTGGAGGTTTTGTGGCTAACGGAAGGGATGGGCACGCCTACCAGCAAGGGACACCTTTGGAGGAGAGTCTGGAGGGCTCCCTGCAGGTGGCGGTGGTCCAGGGGAAAGGATACGGAGCCAGCATCGCTGACGACCTGCAGCACCACGGTGATGGAGGTGCGGGGGTGCAGTGCCCCCAGAACCACTGCCTCGCACGTGTTCCTGATCAGCCGCTCCCGGCTTTTCTCAGCCACACCTGGAGGGAGGGGTGGGGGTAGGAGAGGTTGTGTCACGGGGTAGGGGTGAACCCCTTTCCCTTGGTGCGCTGATCCCCTTCCGCCCCAAACCCTCAACAAACCAAACTCACTGCCATCAAGTTAATGCTGGCTCAGAGCGCCCCAGGAGAATGGAGTGGAACTGCCCTTTACAGGAGTAGAAAGTCTCATGTTTCTCCCACAGATCGGCTGATGGTTTTGAACTGCTCCTCTTGTAGGGAGCAGCCCAAAGCACGGCCCACACTGTCACTAGGGTTCCCCGCCCCAGCCCCAAAGGCCCTGGCAACGGACCAGTCAGGGTACCCTGCATGGTTTCCCATGTTTCATGCTGTAGCCCACTGCCACCCCAGTGGGCCTGGGGCCCAAGTGCCAGAGGTGGAGGCACTCGGGAAGCTGGTCAATAGAAATACAGGGCGATGGGGTCGGGAAAGCGGGGCGGAGGATGGAGAGACGAGATCCAACAGGACAGAGCCAGAAGAGAAAAGAGGTGAGTTAGAGGCAGCCGCCAGAGGGGTGAGAGGTCCACGGGGAGGTCGCCTGGGGCCGCGTCACCTGGAAGCCCGATCTTCGGCCTCAGGAGCACTTCCAGCGTGGCCTTGTTGAAGATCTCCTTGCTAACCTTCACTTCGGCAGGCCCGTACACACCTGCCAGGACTGAAGTGTCGCCTGGGGAGAGAGACAACAGCAGCGGGGCCTCACTCACCTGTCCTGCTTCTGGGGCCCAGTGCTACCACGAGCCCAAGGGCCGGGGGCCCTTTGTGGGCACGATGCTCTGAGGGCTCAATTCCCCTCTGCCTTCCTCGTCTTAACCTGGAAAATTGGGACCATGATGTATTGCAATGGTTCTCTAATGCTGCCACCCTTTCAGACAGTTCCTCATGTGGTGGTGACCTCCCAACCAGAAAATTATTTTCGTTGCTACTTCATCACTGTCATTTTCCAATAGTCTTAGGCGACCCCTGTGAAAGGGTTGTTTGACCCCCTCAGGGGTCTCGACCTACAGGTTGAGAGCCGCTGCTCTAAGGGATTAGAAAGTCTCATCTTTCTCCTGAGGAATGAGTGGTGGTTTCGAACTTCTGACCATACCATTGTTATGGGTTCCAATAAATGACAGCCACTACAATGTCTTGACATTTAGCAGAGTCTTTATTCCACTAGCTGTTCTACCGAGAAACTGAAGTTGTCTCCCCTCACAGCAGCCCTGAGTGGACGTCTGTCCATTTCTAAAGGCCGAAAACTCATTTCTCACCTGTCTAGAAGTCAAGCAAGCGTGAACAGAAGCAGAAAGCAAAATTAATGGGTTAATTGTAACTTCAAGAAGAGCAAGCTACATTCCTTACCCTAAAAGAAACAACACTAAAATTGATGATAACATCCTGGTTATTAGAACCAGATTAACTACACCATTCAGATTACAACATCCAAAGGAACAATATTAAAAAATAATCAAAAGAAACGATAGCTTGAATAGTAGAAACTAATTGTAATGTCCTGAATCTTGGGAACAGGAGAGCACATTTAAAATCAATCACCAGCACAGACTTTCCCATAAGGGGAAGGGAAGCCGGCAGGTCAACTAGCAGTCCGTTTTCCGAGATGAGAAACAGGCAAGTCATTGGGCAGCTAACAAAAATGGAGTTTCTCTTGCTAGTCTGCCTCACCATTAGTTGCCCAGTGTGTAACCCCTGCACCACCAGGGCTGGCTCCTACTTTTTGCCCTAAAGGCTGAATAAGAACTGTATGGACCTGGTGTGACTCACATACGAACCGTTGATCTTGTTTCCATACTTTACTTTTTTTTTTTCATGTTTCTATATGGTACCTAAGTCAATTGTCACCCTTAAAAATCTCACCAAAGTAGGGGATTTTATTTTTCAGTTAGTTCTTTGACAGAGTCAGGGAATCAAGTCTAACTCGAGAGCTGATAGAGCTCTGGGACGATGATATTTGTGCAATAGGCAGAGCTCGCCCCAATCTTTACTCATGATGAGGTGTGTACCCTAGTCAAAGGGGTCTTTCCCCAGTGGGGCTGGAGTGGGGAGGGAGGTGGGATCATCACTCTCAATCGGGTAAAAGTAAGATCTAGTGCAGTGGTTCTCAACCTTCCTAATGCCTCGACCCTTTAACACAGTTCCTCAAGTTGTAGTGACCCCCCAACCATAAAATTATTTTCATTGCTATTTCATCACTGTCATTTTGCTACTGTGTTGAATCAGGCGACCCCTGTTGAAAGGGTCGTTCGGCCCCCAAAGGGGTCACGATCCACAGGTTGGGAACCGCTGATTAGCGGGTGGTGGGCATTGATAGAAATGGGAGGTTTGCTCCAGCCTGGAATATGGACCTCTAGTGGGTGCAGGGAGGTAGATGAATCTAGTCCGCGGATCACTGACCCCTGGTGAGGTTTGTCCTGTTTGGGAGTTTTCAATGGTTAAGGGGAGCGCTTTCCTCCTCTCTTGCCCCTTCTAGTCGGGAGGGAGAGATGTATCCTGGCCCGCCCGTTCACCAAGTGAGAAACTCTGTACCAGGTTGTGGGTAAGAGGGACACTTTGTTACGGTAGGTACATTGTAGCGGTCCCCTTCAAAGAAACATGACAAGCACCAACGTTGCCCGGGCAGTATGAACCAGGGTTCTCACCTTGCAGGAAAGAGGCCGAGCCATCTGGTCGGGACAGCAGATTCTGTTCGCAAGCAAAGTGCCGGAGACTGCAGCCGAGGCTCCGAGGACCAGCCTCAGCCCGCGCGTCAGCACGGATGTGGGTATCAGTCTCCATCACCCACTGTTAGCGCAGCAGATCCCACGTGCAGCCCGCGCAGTAGCTTCCGCCCAGCACTGCGCGTTTACGTACAGGCTGCTGCTCCGACGCGCATGCGCCCATTTGGGGGGCGGGGTTAGGATCCGGCACGTGGGTCTGCGTTTACCAACATTCTGACCCCGCCCATCCCCACCTCCCAATTCCAGAGACGCCATTGGACAGTAGTGAGGAGGGGGCGGGGCCTGAGGTGGGCGGGTTCTTTGCGAGGCCCCGGGGCCCTAAAACCCTGAGGCCCTCATTAGGTTGTCCTCCCCTTTGCCTGTATGAAAGCAAATAGAAAGAGGCGGTCAGAGGCTTTTCAGAAAGCTGTGTGATTTGTTCAGCCGCGTCTGCGTCCTTCCGGCGTCGAGGTGGAAGCGGGTGGGCTCGTGGCAGGGCGGTGCTGGAGGTTGAGTCCGGCTCCTCAAGCGGCAGTCTCGTAGTCGCGCCCCGGCGAGAGGCGGACCGCCCAGCGGCTGTGAGCGAAGATGGCGCTGTCGGCCGCCGCGGCGAGGGTCTGGGGTCCGAGTCGAGGCCTGGGCCGGGCCAGCCTCCTGCTTCTGCAGCGACTTGGCGCTCGGGGAGTGGCCAGCTCTGTGAGTACCTGCGGCCCCGAGGAGTCTTCTCTCAGTAGGATTAAGAAGGTAGAGGCTCCCTCCAGAAAGTGGGGTTCTTCTCGCAGGGAGTGAAGCAAGGACGGTCACCGAAGGGACACGGGCCGGGAGGGCCACTTGGAGAGGACACGCAAGGGAAGAGCCTCCATTTCCTCGGGCGAAGGAAAGCGAGGAGGCCCCTTCGAGGGTCCTCGGGAAAGGAAGTCGTCCCTCACCCCCAGGGCGCTCCCTTGCAGAGCTGGGCGGTGGGGGCTGGGGTGGGGTGCGGAGACGAGAGGTGGCAGACCACCTTGTCAGGAAGAGTTCCTTTCATAAAGTGGCGAGGTCAGCTTCCTCCCTGTCGTGGGGCCGCTGTCATGTCCATTTGGACTCCTC